CTCAATCTCCAAGTTCGTGTTTGGTTGAGACACTACTTCGGTTGAAGCCAAACTTCCTTTGCACTTGGTTGGCTCACTCTAATATACTGCCAAAAATACGGTTCCCTTCAGCGTGGATTCAAGTTTGTGTTCAAGAGGCGCACACATGCTGGCAGAGAAGAGCACGCGCCGTGACTGTTACCTCAACACCTGGTCTCATCAACTGCCTTGCTTCACAGGTGCGCCCGCCCAACCTTTGCGCTCAGCCTGTTTGAAATTTTATCAGTCGCTCTTCGCTCTGCTTCCTCGCCTCTCTCGAGATATTGAGCGCCCCTTGCTTCGCCTTTTTACAGATGATCCTGAGGCTGAGAGACCCCTCTTCGACGTTTCGCCATCGAGCGACTCTGTTCTCGACTCAATATTTGATTTAAAGGATCTAAAGCCTTCAACGAACGAAAGGATGGTGCCTTCTTTCACTACAATAAACGAAAACATGGTACCTTCTCTCACAACAATAAACGATAAGGTGGTGCCTTCTCTCACTGCAAGAAACGAAAAGATAGTTCCCTTTCTCATCGTAAGAAAAAGAAGAAAAAAAGCAAAAACGAAAAGGAGGCGTCTTCTTTCAGTTCAAGAAACGAAAAGGTGGTGCTTTCTCTCACCAATAGAAACGAAAAGGAGACGCCTCTCTTTACTTTAACAAACGAAAAGATGGCGCCGCTTCCCTCTGCAAGAAACGAAAAGACTGATCTCCCGACAGAAAACGAAAATATGAAGCCTGCCCTCAGCGCCCCTCTACATCTCCCATCGAACTATTGCCCTTCTTTTTGTTTTCTCATTTTTCTTTTTTTCTCTTATATATATATATACATATATATATATATATATATATATATATATATATATATATATATATATATATATATATATATATATATATATATTCTTTTGCGAGTCACCCTTCCAATTACTCGTTCTTCGTGATTTCACACTGGGATCTATAATCTATACGGCTGGATCGTTTACTGTGTGAGAGTAAAGTAGGTGACTCATTGTAATGATTACATAATCCAGATTGAATAAATAATGAATCCATCAGTATAACTTAAGTGTAATGATGTAAAAGTTTCTGACAAGCCTTATTTCATTATCTTATTATTATTATCATTATTCTTTCTGTCTCTCTTTAACTTATCTCTTAGTCGGCCAACCTGAGTTTTGTCATCTGTTTTGTTAGTTCTTTGTCTGGTTGCTATCATGCCTTATTTCGGATTTTGTTTTATCAAAAAGGATGAAACCTCGCCAGGCATGTTATTCCTTGAATTACAAACTCTAAATCTTATGTTTCTTCATATTCTATCGGAGCTCCTTAGGTTCTTCAATAATCTTTAAGCCACTTGTAGTTATCACAAATAAGGAATATACCTTGACACGATTCGCCTACATGTCCTTGCTTGTTCTACGGCCATTTAGACAATTGGACAAACGCGTATTAATGAGAACGTCCAGCAGCTGATTCAGAATCCACCGTTATTTCTACCAGGACCTGTTGCAAGACTCCTCTCTATGGGGCTATGCACTCTTTTTATCATTTGGGTGTATGACAGTCGGACGGCATGTCTTCCCCCTTCTTATCTGTCGGACCCAGTCTTTTTATAACGTCTCTCCCTAGACTCATATCTCACCTTCTTTGGAGGATTTTTTATTTACCCTTTACCGGTATATTGGTCTCGCTCTTACCACCTCTTACCACGCAGTCTGCCAGGCTCAACTTTCGTCGGTAGTGAACGAAAGATGCACGAACTTTCCCGATAAAATGACCCATTGTTTGAAGACATTTTCGTACGAGTCGTTACATAATCTGTTGCTAAGCTCTGTGTTTTGGCGTTTGATTCGCCTTATCTTAGGTATTTGTTCAACCTTTGCCAAACCAAAGAAACTGTTTAGATCCTTCCGACGATACACCTATCTCCTTAGCCTCTATAATTGCTAGCAGCTGAAATTTGGAATGCTTTTAGGAACACTGAGCATTAAAAGATTTTCTTTCGCCTGTGTGTCTCATCTCATTCAAAGATAGTTATCACTGCTTTAGGAACTTTACAGGTTCTTCTGTCTTCTCCAGAAACATTCCAAAAGGTATCCAAATTTGCCTGTACACACTTTACCACATTGCTATCCTAGACAATCTATAACTGAATATCCGGATTTCAGTTAACCTGTTTTATTTATGCATTTGTTTAGATGTAGACTTATTGTGGTATTCCACGAGTTTCTTTAATTTTCCCAACTCCTTGTCTAATGACAGTTTAGGAACAAGGCATTCCGGATTAAAGTTAATCCAAACCCACAGTACTTGCGCAGAAGATGCAAGTCACTGCCGGGCGCACGAGTCAATACGATTTTTAGTAAATCATGTTTTACATGAAAAATCGGGTATCTGTATAATGGCAATTAGCATTCCCTCTCTGCAAGTTTCATTTTTTTATGCTAATATAATATAAATGGCTTCAAACAGCCTATA